CCAACTACTGATAACTTCAGTAACACTATAGAGTTTTTTTATATTCCTTTTCCTGTATTTTTCCATACTCCCCCATCACCAATTGTTCATCTATGGTGACTTGCAATCTGGTGGGGGGGGGGGTTGTTCTTTTATTTATTTATTTATTTATTTTTTGTTTTTTTTTCTCCGGTACCGGGAACCGAACTCACAACCTTGCACTTGCCAGGCAGGCGCTTTTGCCGCTGAGCTAAATCCCCAGCCCCTGGGGGGGTTGTTCTTAAATCTGTTATATCCTGTAAGCTTTTTCTCCAGTCATTAACGTGAGTTTGGTTGTTTTGCTTTTGCAATGCTGGGGATTGAACTCAGGGACTTGGGCATGCTAGGCAAGTGTTCTCCACTGAGCTATACCCCAAGCTCACTATCACATGAGGGTTTTTTCCTTTTTTTATTTGAGACAGGGTCTTGCTATGTAACCCAGGCTGGCCTTAAACTCACTGCCATCCTCCTACCTCAGCCTAACTGCTGGGATTACAGGCGTGTGCCACCATGCCCAGCTCCCACATGAGTTTTAATGGCTGTACAGTGTTCTATATTATGGAATATGATATAAAGTATACTTAAGGCAAGTCTACACACACTATTATATAATGGCACTTGATTTTAATGAATATTCAGTAATAGTTATAAAATATTTAACAAATATATTAAACTACTGAAATTTGAAATGAAAGCAAAGGTTAGGGTTTTAAAGTGTAAAATTATTTATTCAAAACTATTCATAAGACTCTTAACGTTATACTTTAATAACATACAACCAGATTACTGATGAGTCCTTCAAAAGCTCCCACTCCTACTTTACAAGCTGATCAGATATGTACTCTACTATTATGGGCGAGGTTAGTTTCAAAACATAAACCCAGTTTGCATCTATTTTCTAAACACCCGTCTCCTATCAATGAGGGAAAAAAGAAACAAATAATCAAGGGAGCAAAGATAATTTCATGTTAAAGTCCACTTTCTCTATTAAGTAAACAGGCCAGGATTTTGCTCCTAATCCTATTGGTCAACAATGGAAAACTGAATGCTCTGGGTAACCAAACAGGGATGTAGTTCAGTGGTAGAGCATGCTCTAGCATGCATGAGGCCCTGGGTTCAATATCCAGCACTATTGAATAAACAAACACTGTAATTTGTAAGTAAAAATCACATAGATTCCCCAGGCATTCTATGGACTATTAAGTGTTGTATATGTAGTGGAATACAAGACTATACTAATTTTTCATTACCCATAAGACATCATCATAGAGATTGCTTGCAGAAAAAAATCTCAATAGGTTGTTTATTTTTGTGAAACAAATAAAAAAGTGAAGAGAAATACTTTCAGCTATTTTACCCTCCTGGTTACTTGGACAACAAGGGAGGAAATGATTAAAATGCAAATTGGAAACCAGTTTTATTTTCTCCTATACAGCAATGGGTTTTCTAGAGTGTCTCATCTGGAGCAGCAACAATAGCAACACCACCTGGGAACTTGTTAGAAGCACAAATTTTGGGGCAGCTCCTTAAACCTGAATCAGACACCCTGGGGGGCAGGACAGGCCCCTGCAACCTGTGTTTTAACAAGCCTAAGGGGTGATTTTGATGACTGCTTAAGTGTGAGAACCACAATTACAAAGTCAAGATACTCAAACTTGATCCATGGAAAGTGCCACTACCACGAACAAGAATGAAATACAGTCTGCCTCCCAGCACATTTGAGCCCCACCTTATGGACTTATGATACATTTTCAAAAATATCCTTCAACTAGGACATTACTTTAGCCCTAACTCAAATGGAACACAAAAAGTCCTGTCAGAGGGGGAAGGAAAATGTTCAAGTTCTTTTCACAAGCATTCACAATCTGCTCTAGATATGAGCCTTGTAAAACAAATTAACAATTTAAGTTTAGAAAGGGCTATGTCACCACGCATTCTGCAGTTTGCTGGAGAGAAAAGTATTCCATCACAGAAAAGAGCCCTGTAATATCAACATTAACACCAAGTACCAGAATACAGATTTTACACATCTCAAGATGAGGCTATAAAGCCTGCCAAAAGTGGAAGATTGCACTGGGTCTCTAGTTCCCAAGATTATCAGCCCTTCTCTTTCTCCTATATCTAAAATTATCAAATATAATGCAAACATTACTTTTCAGTTGTGCTACATGATAATGTTATGGCAATCTTTGCAGTAACTGAATTGACTTAGCTGCAATGTAATAAGACGATAGTAGACATACTATCACGGATGCACAAGCATGCACACAAAAAAGCATCCTGGATGCTTGAGCTCTGAATGCCAACCACCACCGGCTGGGTTTATGTTACTGCTCTGTGTATAAGGTTGCTGTTTTTGGAATAAAATCCTAAGATACAATGACGTAGTTTATGCCAATTACTTGCTTTCATTTCTGGTCCATCCTTCCCAAATATGGCAGCTGTGTGTCAGAGGAAAGAGCATCAGACAGGACATCAGAAGACCCTGGTCCCAGTCCCAATTGTGGGACCTTGGACAAGTCATTAAACTTCTTGGCTTTCATTGATTTAGCTGTAAAAAGTGACATACCACCTAACTCTCAAGATTGCTGTTAAATAAGATCACAAATATTTATAATGTGTTCTATGTCATGAAGCTATATACATCCACTCACACCCCACATTTATTGAGCAGCTATTCTTCTAGGCACTGAGGAGGAAGATGTGAACAAGAAAGTAAAATCCTTTTCCCTCAAAAGCTTACATTCTAGAAGGAAGGTCAATTTTATTATTAGAACAAAGGATGGTTATTCTCCCCTAGTTAAGATTTAAGGATTCTGATTCACCATGGTCTTCTGCGGTATTAAGTAGACTTACCATTATCTGATAAAGGCATCTTTTCAACTGTAAGAATACTGTTAGATGAAGGTCAACTGGATTTAACTGACTTTATTAATTACTGAGGCTTCCTCAACAGTAACCAGCTCCTCCAGTGAAACATGCACTATTTCTAATAGAAATTATACTAATCTAGAGAAGATAGGAAAAACTACATTTCTGTAATGAGATCGAAGTGTCACAGTGCATGTTGTCATATTCAATAATTAAGAGTAGGACTGGACAATCCTATTTTTCTGCATCTTTTATAGTCATTCCCAGAACTGAATTGGATCTGATCATTTTCCATAATTCCCAATAAAAAATGACTGTTAGGCAAGAATGTCACACACAAAAAAGCCCACCAGTCTGTCAAAGGAATGATTAGTCAAATATAAGGCCAATTTGGGCATTCTGAAGGACAGAGCTTCAAGTAGCTTGCTCAAAAAAAAACTGCGTTGGAACCATACTGCAGTCTCCATTGAAGGCAAAGAGCTTTCAAAGAGGCCTGTTCGAGGAAAAGGGAAAACAAATACACGCACATACACATACGCACATACACACACGCACACACACACCCCTAAAAATCTGACCAAATGCCAAATGTTAATCCTTCTTATCCCATTTAAGGTAAAAAGACAGCAATCCATATTTGCAGCAGATATATCCATTTCTTTGTTTGAGTCCAAACACATTATGCGTAAATCTGCAAGCAAGGCTGCCGCTGCCTCAGAGACCTGATACATGCTACCTCCCCAGGAGCACACAGTAAGAGGGACCCAGCTGGGGGACTTCACGTAGAGGGGGATGTTTTATCCAACGGAGATGGAAGAAGACGGTGGTCAGAAGGCTAAGATTAGAACCGCGGGGTCCCCTCCCCTCCCCCCCCAGCTCCATTGAATATTCTCTGCAGATGCTGCATCTTTGGAAATCCCTACGCAGGTCTAATGCCCTGCTATTCATTTCTCACGCCTTCCAATACCTTCATTAACCACAATAACCACCTCTTAATAATATTCTTCCAAGAGTTGCTTTATTTCCATCCCTAGTCCGGGAGGGGCCATTGATCTCTGCACCCTCCTAGCTGTTCTGTCATTCCCTGCCACCACGGTCGGCCACCCTACCCCCAGGCCAGTAGTAAAGCCTCTGATACCCTCCAGCATCTTCAAATTTCCAGCCTCTAAGCCATCATCCGCATCCCACTCCCTTCCTTACCCCAATCACCATCACCGATCTCCCCCACCCCTGTTCCTAACCCAACCTTCATCCACCACCGATCCTTCACCCTGGTCCCTAAGCCCCCTCCAAAAACGGATGTCTCACCCTATCCCCTAACACCTTCCTCACCTGCAGCCCAGGAAAACGTGGTTGGTCCAGGCGGCGGAGAGAGCAAGGAGCTGGTCGAGGGCAGCCCCTGGATAGCTGTGCAGGTGCCGACAGATGAAGCTACGCCGCAGAGCCCACTGCCAGTCACTTTCGTGGCTATAGCGCCACTGCTCCAGCACTGGCTCGGGCGGGGGCGGCGGGAGGGGCGGCAGCGGTGGCGGCGGGAGGGGGGGCAGCGGCGGCGGCGACAGGAAGTCGCCCCCCAGCAGCAGACGTCCTCCAGCCATCTTCTCCGCCTCCAAGCGGGACCTCAGGGAGAAAGCGACAACTGACCGCGACCAAGCTAGCCAGCAGGAACCGAGACCGGTTGGGAGGGGCCGGGTGAGGAGGGACGCGCTAAGGCGCCAAGAGCAACTCTGGGGGACTGGAGTGTATGCGTGGGGGCTACCGTTAGAAGGAAAAGGGGCGCACAACAAGCTCACGCACGTCCAGACACTGGGGCGCGTGATTGCTGCACTCCTCCAACTCGTGGAGGAGCAGGAGGGCTTCCTCCGCAATCACACACGAACCGTGAAAGCCGAGTAAGGCCGAGTGTTCTGCGCCTTCTCGGACCCGCAGACTCACGCACTGCAAGAGCAGCGGAAAGAAAAAAAGACAGCAGCACGTTCCGCTCCCCTTCCTCCGGGCTCTAGTCTACCTACCCGCGTGCGGCCCGAGGTGGTGAGACCAGTGCGCAGGCGCTCCGGCTGTTCCTCAACTTGGAAAAACCCATCTCAAAATCTCGCGAGATCTACTTTTTTCCCTTCCTATGACTACAGGCCTTTGACGCACTATGGTGACAAGCGGGGGGCGGGGCCTCCGGGAAGGAAATTATGAATGCTCTTTTTAGGTTTGGGATCATGGTTCCATGAAGTGCCTGGAAGATGCCCTCAGGTGATTGTTGGTAGCAGTGGTGAGCTTGACGCTTTTACCAGAAGTTCCTTCTTACTGTCTTTAGCTTTTGCGCCATTGGGAATGGCACCAGGGCCACGCGCACGCTAGTCAAGTGCTGTACTGCCGAGCTCCACCCACAGCTCTTCCTTGGGTTCCTAAACGGTGCGACACAGAGTGAGCACCCCACAGAGGCACGTCCCTGGCTTTTTTTTTTTTTTTTTGTACCAGGAATCGAACTCAGAACCTTGCACTTGCCAGGCAGGCGCTTCTGCTGCTGAGCTATATCCCCAGCGCTCTGGCTCTTTTAAATGTTCAGACAGCGTTTCGCTAAATTGCTAAATTGCCCGGGCTGGGCTAGAACTTGCCCTCTTTCTGCCTCAGCCTTCCACAATGCTGGAATTACAGGAATGCGCCATCACGCCAGGCTGTAGTCAACCTCTTTTACCGTCTGTACTCCGTTCCAGTTTTTACAGTTTTGGCCATGACTGCAAATAATTCTGCACTTTACATATCAATTTAAAACGTTCAAAATATTACAAAATAAAAGAGGCGCCCAAAGACAAGGGTTAAAAGCTGCGCAGCAGCACTGCCAAATCACTGTGTAAATTATAATCTTGGTGGGGAAAAATAGACCCGCATAAAGCTGAATGTTCCACCACAGGCAGGGCTACTGGATGCGGTGGCTTTGACTTATTGCCCTCTTTAATAATGTATTTCTATGTGATACATCTTAGGTGTATTGGAGTGACAAGAGGGGAGGATAAACAGCACTTTTCACACTGCACCGTCATTATTTTCGTGACTGTCTACTTGGTAAGCACTCATATTTATGGAAGTAATGAGAGTCTTTGAACCATCCAGTCAAAGAATACCGTACTAGGAAGGAAGCTTAGAAATAAATTCAAATCATCATTGTATGAGTGGGGAAAATAAAGCTAAGAGTATTAACTTGCAGAAGGCTGTAGAGTTTTTGGCAATGAGAAGATCAGATTTTAGGTCACCTGGCTCTTCACCCGGTATTCTTTCAGTAATGTCCCATTGTTTTGCCCTTTTTTCACAGGATGTGCAAATTTTGAAATGTATTTTAAAAACCACTTAACTTTCCCAAAATAGAATGTCAGCTCTGTGAGAGCAGGAAATCACCTGGCTCCTGTAGGCACTCCATAGATACTTGTTGAATTGAATAAATGAGTGAATGAATGAATGCTTTCCCCATTGTTCCAACCTTGTGAAGTATTTTTCCTTGGAGCCTACATTTTAAGCTAACTAGTTATTTTATAATTTCATTAACTTTACCCTGCTATAGTTGTGTCCCTTCCAAAACTCAGGTGTTGAAATTTAATGGCCACTATAATGGCATTAAGTGGTAGGGTCCTTAATCCCAGTTTCTTGAGAGGCAGAGGGAGGAGGATTGCAGATGTGAAATTTAGCAAGATCCTGTCTCAAAATAAAATTTTAAAAGGGCTGGGAATGTACTTCAGTGGTAAAGCGCTTGCCTAGTATGCAGAAGGTCCTGGGTTCAATCCCCTGCACAAGGAAAAGAAAAAACGGAGACCCTTCAAGAGATGATTAGGGCAGGAGTGACGTTCCTTCTTGAGAGGAAAAAGAGAGGGATTAAGGCCCTTATAAAGCAGGCTTCATGCAGCATTTGGTCACTTGTCCTTCTATCGTATATCATGTGAGGACAGAGTATTCCTCCCCTCTAAAGAATGCAGCAACAAGAAATCATCTTGGAAGCAGAGAACAGACCTTATCAGACAACCAAACCTGCTGGTGCCATGAGCTTGGACGTCCCAATCCCCAGAACTGTGAGAAATAAAGTTCTGCTCTTTATAAGTGATTCAATCTTAGGTATTTTGTTATACTAGCACAAATGGATTAAGACATAGCCTAAGATGTCAGCTGTCTTCAAAACCAGCATTGTAACTTCTTAGAAAATAATCTGAGAAAAACTACTTCCTTTCAGTTTGGCTTAAAACTTTCCTTCCATATAGAAACAACCTGACTTTGGAACTTGGATTACAAAATGGAAAGCAGTGAGGTGGTACATACCTGTAATCCCAATACTCTGGGAAGCTGAGGCAGGAGGATTACAAATTTGAGCCCAACAGAGGCAATTTAGTGAGAACTTGTCTCAAAAACTTTTTAAAGGTCTAGGGATAAAGCTCAGTGAAAAGACCTGTGGTTCAATCCCTAGTTCTGCAGAAAACACAGAAAGGTAATGAAACTGATACAAGAGGCCATCTGCTCTGGAACAGTCATAACTGGATTCCATTTGTGATTCCCGCTGTAGAAAAAACAGTTGAATCTCTAGAGAATGAAGCACAACAAAATTTTGCACGCTTCCCCATGAACTTCTCTTTCTGGTAATCCTTCTGACCAAATAATCCTTCAGCCAATCTATTTGAGCCCATTCCCTCCTCACAAGTCACAGGGGATTTCTCAGTGAGCAGGAGTTGAGATCCCTGAGATGATGCAGATTATCTGAATAAAGGTTAAAGAGATGTAGAGGACAGAAATGATAAAAGCAGCCACTGCAATCTTAAACCTACCCAGAAACCTATTACATCCTCCATAACCTTGTTCCTTCTCTAACACGGGCTTTTGACACTGTGTTTTTACTAAGCATATAACCCTTCTGACTTGGCTGAGCTTTTTCCCTGCCCTTAACTGTAGGGAAGCCAGTCAGTAATAAAAAGAGAGAAAGCATGATTTAACACTCCCACAAAATATCCCAAAAATTACTCAGGGTTCTTTTTTTTTGTGAGACAGGGTCTCACTATGTAGTGCAGGCTGACCTTGAACTCACTATGTAGCTTAGTCTGGCCTCGAACTCACAACAATACTCCTGCCTCAGCCACCTGAGTGCTGGGATTACAGACATGTGCCACCATGCCCAGCCTACCCAGAGTTTTTGACCAGACTATGTTGCACCACAAATGCCCTTGAGGAATGTTTACCAATAGATTAGAAGCAATAACTAGAGCTCCCTCTGCCAAGCATGGGTAATTTTCTTTTTTTTTTTTTTTTTTTTTTTTTGGTGCCGGGAATTGAACTCAGGACCTTGCACTTGCCAGGCAGGCGCTAATGCCACTGAGCTATATCCCCATGGGTAATTTGAACATCAAAATAATTAATGACAGTAATGAATGAGAAACTGATGAAACAATAGGAAGTCCTAAACCCCTGGTGATACCAAGTAGATAAAGAACAACAGAGAGAAAGGAGGGCTTTTACTTATACTGAAATACGATGTACTCACTGGGAGACATAAAAAGAGTACTAGAATTGGAATAATTTTGTAGATTGACTCTGGCAAGAATTATCAATAGATACTAAATCTAGGGGAAATTTTTTTTAATTTTAAAGAGAGAAAAAAATAAAACAGAGTTTCAAACCAGGCTAGTAGGGCAGTATAATAATTAATGCATTGCATATTGTTATCTTCATAGTAGCTATTCAGAGTACAAGATATAGGCAAGAAATATTGTCTAAACAATATTAGCTCAAACCTTTCTTTTCAATAAACTAAGAGAAACTAGCTATATAACTGTTTTAACTATCTTGTGTGTGTGTGTGTGTGTGTGTGTGTGTGTGTGTATATTATATATACATATACAGTCTTTTTCCTTTCTTCCTTTCTCCTTTCCCCCAATCCAGGTTTCTTTTTTCTCTTGAACAATTTCTTCCAAATTTACAATATCTTTTGTAAATTTTGGATCCTATTTACTCATTCAGTCTCTCATGCTAGTGAGACAATATGATGTTTACACATGTGGGTCTGATTTATTTCACTCAGTGTTTAAGAGTATGGTCTTGAGTTGCAGCCATGTATGTATAAAAGTCTCCAGTTTATCTTTCTCTATGCCTGAGTAGTGTTCCATTATATATATATTTTTCAAAAACTGTGTCTATTTTCTCTGTTCCTTGATTGATGGACATGTGTTGTTTCCAAGATTTAGCTATAACAAATTGTGCTACTATAAACATGGGTGCACATATATCGCTGTGGTTTGATGTTTTTAATTCTTCTGGGAAGACACCCAGAAAGGGAATAGCTGGATCAAATGGAACCTCTATTCCTAGTTTTTTAAGGAATCCCCATACTGATTTCCACAGTGGTTGAAGGTGTCTACACTCCCACCAGCAGTGGAGAAGGGTTCATTTTCCCCCTCAACCCCTCCAGCATTTGTTATTGGTTAGTTTCTTTCTTTTTTTTTTTTTTTTTAAACAGTGTCTCAGTATGCAGTTCAGGCTGACCATAAACTCACTATGTAGCTGAGGCTGGCCTACACCAATCCTCCTGCCTCAGCCTCCTAAGTGCTGGGATTACAGGCATGTGCCACCACAACCAGCTTGATTTCTTGATGGTAGCCATTCTTTCTGGGGTGAGATGGGATGTCAGTGTTTTAATTTGTATCTCTCAAATGACCAATGGTTTTGAACATTTTTTCATGCATTTATTTGCCATTTGTATTTCTTCATCTGAGAAGTGAATATTCATCTCAGGGGCCAGGATATAGCTCAGTGGTATAAGTGCCTGCCTGGCGGGTGTACGGTCCTGAGTTCAATTCCCGGCACCAAAAAAAAAAGTATTCATCTCAGATGCCCATTTTTGGATTGGGTCTTTGAATTTGGGGGATCTGATTTTTTTCAATTCTTTGTGTGTTCTAGATATAAGTTCTTTGTCTAAGAGACAACTGGTTATAATTTTTTCCCATTCTGTGGGTTGTCTTTTTACTCTGTTGGTAATTTCTTTTGCTGTGCAAAAGCTTTTTCATAAGGTGAGATCCCATTTGTTGATTCTTTGTAGTATTTCCCTTGCAGTCTGGGTTTTGCTCATGAAGTCTGTGCCTACACCTATGTCTTCAAGATTTCTGCCTGTTTTCTCTTCCAGTAAATTTTAGTGTTTCTGTTTTAATATTTAGATCTTTGATCCATTTTGACTTTAGTGTAGTGCATGGTGATGGATATGGGTCTGGTTTTAGTCTTCAGCATAGGGCAAGTCAATTTTTCCAACACCATTTATTAAAGAGACTATCTTTCTTCTAGTGAAACTGCATGGCTCCTTTGTCAAAGTTAAGGTGGCTGAATGTGCAAATAGTGATAATTTAACTCTTCCTTTCCTATCTTCATTCCTTTTATTTTTTCTCTTGTCTAATTGCTCTGGCTAATGTTTCCAGAACTATATTGAATAGGACTGGTGATAGTTACCATCCTTATCTTGTTCCTCATTTTAGAGTGAAAGCTTTCTGTTTTTGACCATTTAGTATAACTTTAACTTTGGTTTCTCATAGATGCCTTCAATCAGATTGAGGTGAAGACCATCTGTTATGGTTGATACATTGTGTCAATTTGAGCAGTCTAGAGGCTTGGCTAGTGACTCAAGAGTTTTGAATCTTGGTGTGACGAGGACATGCCCTTACCATGTTGTTCATTGTGTCAATTTGAGAAGTTTGAAGGTTAAGTAAGTGATTCAGCAGGGGGCCAGGGTCCTTACTTTGAATTTATCCTGAGCCTGTGCAAGAGGAGGGCATGGAGATTATGTGAGTGCTACATGCCCCCTGGGTGAGGGTAGCCTGCTTACAACATAAGGGAGGAAAAGAGGCTTGTCCCCTTCCCTTTTTTGCTCTTGCTGCTTTTACTGTCTTGTGCCACCCTGAAGTGTTGCCCCTGTGCCCTGCCACCCTGCCTTGGAGCCAGCTGATTATACACTGAAACCTCCACAAACTGTAAGCTAAGTAAACCTTTCCTTCCTTAAATCTGGGTGTTGGGTATTTTGTCTCAGCAACAAGAGAAAAGTAACCAAGACAGAATTTGGTACCAGGAGTGGTGTCATTGCTGTCACTATACCTGACCATGTGGTTCAAGAGGTTTTGGAAATGGCTTATGGGAAGTGTTTGGAAAGGTTTGAAGATATTGCCTGAAAGAGTAGAGCTGAAATGCCTTTGGCTGTTCTGTATGGAAGATTCTGGTCAGAGCTCAGAAAACCAGAATACTGATAGAAATCCTGCCAGTAAAGACCCAGCTAGGGCAGTTTCTGCTGGGAAGAAAGACTGCCCTGGGTGCTGGACTTCAGACGATGTATGTTATGGCTTCACAGAAAGTTTGTCTGCATTTTGCTTGTGTCCAGAGACTTTGCCTAAAACTGAGATTAAGGGCAGTGGACTAATTAATCTGGCAAAAAAAAAAATTTCAAGGCAGTTAAATGTTGAGGCAGTGGAATGGCTATTGTTGGGGGCTTTTAGCCAGATTTATGTTGAGAGTCAAGAGCAAGAGCACAGGGGCTGGGAATATAGCTCAGTGGTATAAGCGCCTGCCTGGCAAATGCAAGGTCCTGAGTTTGATTCCTGGCACACAAAAAAAGAGCAAAGAACCCAGAAGGATGATTTAAAGCATTGTGAGTTTGGTGAGGAAGAAAGCTCCAGTAAAGCTGTGAATTGCAAAGATAGAGCTGAGATCTTGATTGCTGAGGAGGAACAGGAGAATAGAAAAGATGGCCTGAGGGCATCACTAGGAACAGCAAGTCTCGACCCTTTGCATCATCAATCTTGCAAAAGTGAAAGACTTTGCTTTGAGAAGAAAGCCACAGAGGACCATGTTCCAGAATGGTGGAAGCTGCACCAGGTTCCAGAATGGCGGTGGCACAGAGAAATTGTCCCTCAGAATTGGATACAGACTGTCCAGTGATCCAAGCCTGGCAACTGCTCTAGGTGGCAGCAGAACTTGGCATCATCCACATGGCACTGGTTTTAGGCACATGTGGAATGCAAGAGTTCTGAGGTTAGGAAGGCTTCCACCTAGATTTCAAAAAGGCTGGAAGGCCAGGAAGTATACCCCTGAGAGGGCAGTGTGTGAAACTGTAAATGTGAAGGTGCATTGGAGAACCCAGAAGTTTGGAAAAGCCAGGAATGTGGATTGTCTAAGGAAAGCTGCAAGGAGGGAGCAAAGCAGGCCTAAAAAAGAAGGCATGGGAGCTGTAACCATCAGAAGTGCCAAAGGGATGGAGTCAGTCACGCAAACCCTTTGGAGCTCACAATGTGCCACAGATCTCTTCAGATGTTGGACATGGATCTATAGGACTTAATGTTTGGCCTGTTGGATTTTGGACTTGCTTTGGTTCCAATGCTTTGTATCCTTTTCTTTGTACCTTTTGAAATGGTAATGTTTATCTTGTACCATTGAACGTTGGAAGTGTTTAACTTTTCATTTGTGTGGGAGCTTACAACTAAAGAGTTTGCCTTATATCTTGGAGGAGACTTGGGACTTGGACTTTTCAGCAATGCTGAACTGTTAGGACTTTGGCAGCCCTTGCAGATGGACAAAATGCCTTTTGCATAAAGGGTTGCGCATGAGTCTTTGGGGGGCAGAATGTTATGGATCTAATGTAATATAATGTTGATAGGCTTCATACTGGTTCTTAAGGATTGCTGAACCTGTGTTATAATGTTCAACTTGTGAAAATTTAAGAATAAGCATATCTTTGTATCTAGAAACTGGTTTAAAGAAATGTGTCTGAAAAAAAAAAAGAAATGTGTTTCTTTGACAAGGGATGTGTTATGGTTGATATATTGTGTTAACTTGTGGAGTCTAGAGGTTTGGCCAAGTGACTTAGCAGTTTTATATCTTGGGGTAAAAAAGACATGTTTTTATTTTGGGGGGGGATGTTGCTTATTTTATTTATTTAAAAAGTTTAAAAGGTTAACTATGTGATTTAGCAGGGAGCCAGGGTGTTTATTTTGTATTTATCCTGAGCCTGTGTAAGAGGAGAGCATAGATATTATGTGAGTGCTCTATGCCCCCTGGGTGGGGGTAGTCTGCTTACAATATAAAAAAAAAGAGGCTTGCTCTTCTCTGCCACTCCCCCCTTTTTGCTCTTGTTGTTTCTGCTGTTTTCCAACACCATAAACATTTGCCCTCTGCCACTCCTCCCTTTTGCTCTTGTTGCTTTGCTGTTTTCTGCCACCATAAACTGTTGCCCCCACCATGTGCCACTCTGCCTTAGAGCCAGCTAAATATAG